GTTCACTGTATAAATTAATATGGATTCATCTTTGTCAAAGCTGTGTTTGTTCTGTTGTTTGCTCTTTCGCCTCTTCTTGCACGGTTTTAAAATCGATTGAGTTTGTAAACACATACAAATGATAAAACTTTTACTCTATTAAATTTTGCAATTAATCCTCAGCGTGCTGAACCGTGGGCCTAGTCACGGATCACTATCAACTACGATCTGCTCCCTTCACTAAAATGTCACGGTTCCTAAACATGGTAACAAATAATATAGATAAATAATGAACACACGTCAAAACGAAAACACAGATACTTACAAGACCAAGTAGGAATGTATTTTATCGTTTGTTGTTTGCTGCTCTCCGACAAGTAAACTTAGTGCTCTCTCATGTAAAAAAATTCAAAACACAACACTGATCTCTAACTCTCATGTCGCAATGACACGTAAAGCTTTGTAGATATTATTGACACTGCGAACATGATGGGATATTAACCATCTCATGCGCTGTCTGGTCAAAACCTACAGTGAATCAGGTTTGACTATAAGTGGGCTACAGATAGCCACTCTGACTACGAGCTAAATCGTGGCTACGCTCAGGCTACGTATTGAACATGTCAAAGAAATGAAACCAGACACCCTGTAAACGCTATTGACTTTGCTTACATGATGGAATATTATACATCTCACAAGTTATTTTGCCAAAAGATGACATGAAACCAAATTCAAGGTTATTTGGGCTAGAAGTGGGTTACACATAGCCGGACTATATTGGGTCTATACTTAAACGAGATGTTGAAATGACGGCTATTGCTTGCTGGGTTGCTGCCTCGTGTTTTGTCATTATATATAGATCAGTGGTTTGAGCGCCATCAAGTTAATTCTTTATCGTCTATTTTTTTTATCTTAAAATCAATTTTATACACCATCATTTTCGATTCTATAATGTGAGAATATATCCCCTATCGTACAACAAAAACAATCAGAGCGCCTTGTTATCACTAGTTTTATTTTGATTTCCCGAGTCCGCTTATAACCCGTTAGCATCGCCAGCGTGGTTGCCGCTCGCTTACATTGCTAATACTCTATTCACACACATAAGCCAGGCCCCGGCCGAGGACCTCTCCCCCTCCGCCGCCTCCGTTCTTCGAGATCTCCACCCAGAATGCACCGTCTCGATCAAGCTCCTCAAATCCCTCTGGCAGGACATCGCCCGCAACGACGATCATCGTGTCAGGACCACTTCCCACGTATCGACGAGGACACGAAAGGTTCAGTAGACTTTTTGCTTTAAATGAATGGTTATTGTCATTGTGTAAAGAACAGAAACTGCTCTTTGTTAATAATTTGAATCTTTTCTGGGAGCGTCCTAGACTTTTTCTCGCTGATGGCCTGCACCCCAACAGAGTCAGAGCGGAACTCCTGTCGGACAACATCTCTAGGACGCTATGCTCCATATGACTAGTAAGCCAATTCTCAAATAACTGCTATGATGGCTTTTGTTCTACCCGCTTAAATGATAGAAGTACTTGTGCTGTCCAATCTATAAAGACTGTGTCTGTTCCCCGAATATTGAGGTCAAAATATAAATTTAATGCAGGATCTAGAAAAAATTAAAATTACCAACATTTTTT